CACCAAGGCGCATGGAACGCTGTTACCTTCCCACTGAAGTGGTACCTATTTATCTACTTGCAATTTCTTGCTTTCGAACTGCTAGGTTGGCAGGAGCTGGAACTAGAGACGGGAGCTCACTCCGTCATGCGGCACTCGGGTCTCGAACTGCTGAACTACTGACCTTCCACAGCCTGCAGTTCAGCGTCTTAACCACTTGAGCCACCTGTTACAAATCCTGTTGTACTTATAATCAGCCAGACACTAAGTTGTAGCCTACAGACATCACTGAACTTTCAGTACACACTCAAGGAGTTTCACCAGAAGCACTGCCTATGCAGTTTCATGCCCGCTGCAACTCTGTGGACTAGCACCTTGTTTGTTTATTTATTTACACAATTGATACCCTGTCCTTCTGCCCTCACAAGGGCCAGCAAGGTGGCTAACAACTTAAAACACACAATAAAACACACAATAAAAGCACATTTTAGCACCATTAAAATCAACCTTCCCAAAAGACATATAATTAAAACAATTTAAAACAGAGTTAAAATACGTACAAAGACATAAAAGCAGCAATTGAAACATTGGTCGGGAAGGAGGGATCACCGAGGGAATGCCAAACACAACAAAAAGAGTCTTCACTCACTGGTTGAAGATGGCCTCCGGAGGGAACAGATAAAGCCCCCTGGGGAGAGAATTTCAGAGCTTTGGTGCTGTAACCGGGAAGGCCCTTCTGGGGTACCACCTGCTTAATCTCTGAAGGCTGGGGGGGGGGCACCTGAAGATGAACATCATGGTTGGGTTCATAAAAGAGTAGGTGGTCCTTAAGGTATGTTGGTCCCAAACCATGCAGGGCTTTAAACGTCAGCTCCAGCACCTCAAACTGTGCTCAGAAACAAATTGGGAGCCAGTTCAGATGGGCTAAGGGTGGCGTGATATGGTCCCTATGACCCACTCCACTGGCGTGATATGGTCCCTACGACCCACTCCAGGCAACATCCTGGCTGCAGCATTCTGTACCAACTGAAGTTTCTGAAAACTTCTCAAGGGCACTGTGGGAATCTAATCAAGATGTAACCAGGGCATGGTTAACCAGCTGAAGCTGGGGTTTTTTAAAGCCAAAATGAAACTGAAGGTCTTCAGAATGTTCAAGAGATCTACCACATTCTGCGTTGGTACGCAGAAGGCATCACATACCCATCCACTCAACTGTGATCCAGTCGTGTCTTTCCCTCCTTATCTCTATGGTTTTTGTGGGCCAGGCTAACTTGACATTTCTTTGCCTCAGCTTGTTTGCCAGAATGTTGGTTCAATTTCCCCACTTTCTGGTGCTCGTTCTTGAGCAGAAGATTGTCACGTCCCCCATCTGCCTTCAATTTCCCTCCCAGTCTCCTGCAGTCTCACAGGCTGGCTTTTCAACATTTTCAGCTGCAGCAACGCTTGTGGTTTTCTGCCCCTTGTGCCAAGACAGACTGACATCCTGTCCTAACCGGCATGTCTGTCACCTAACAATAGGACCATAGACAGGCACTGAGATGGAATTAGGGGACTGTCAGGGAAGTCAGGATATTGCTTCAAGGACATCGAGGCTCTCTGTCCAAAACTCTACAAATGCCAAAACCTCAATGATTAACAGTTGCATTAAGTTGCATTAAGAACTGAAGTGCTAAAGACCTACGCAGAGTACTTGGCAAGCATTTCGAAGCAAGTGAATGTGAAGAGGTGGAAAAAAAGGCTGTTTATTCTGGAGGCTACTCGACATTTTATCTCCTAATGCTTTTTATAGATTCTGTTAGGGAGCCAGTGTGGTGTAGTGGTTAGAGTGCTGGACTAAGATCTGGGAGACCCAGGTTCTAATCTCCATACTACTCTGGAAGCTTGCTTGAGGGTACTTGGGCCAGTCACACCCACTCATCTTACTCTACCTCACAAATGTATTGTTATTCGGTGTAGAGTAGTGGTTAAGAGTGGTGGACTCTAATCTGGAGAACCGGGTTTGATTCCCCACTCCCCCACATGAAGCCATCTGGGTGACCTTGGGTCAGTCACAGCTCTCTCAGAACTCTCTCAGCCCCCACCTACCTCACAGGGCGTCTGCTGTGGGGAGAGGAAGGGAAGGTGGTTGTAAGCTGCTCTGAGTACAGAGAGCAACTTGCCATGTGAATATTTAACAAAATAAATTATAAAACAGATTTTTTAATTTCTTTGATGAGGAAAAAATGGAGGAGAGAAGGATATTGTAGGCTGCTATTGGGATGAAAAGGGCACATATATCTATGTAAATAATAAATATTGCTGACTGCTGATTTTTTAAGACTGATTGCTGCTTATAATGTTTTTATCTCTGTTCCTTTCCAAAGTTTACATGGGTGTTCTTAAAATGCCTTGAATTGTGCTGCTGGATGCTTTTAATTTTTTTTTTAAAAAATCTGTTTTATAATTTATTTTGTTAAATATTCACACTGCAAGTTGCTCTCTGTACCATTTGAATGGCAGAAAATAGGATCTAAATCTTTCAGATAAATTAAAGGGGTGAAAGTGTTCCCAGAGATAATTTGCAGATGTTTAAAAGTCTACTCCTATACACTTCAAGGCCAAATTTCAATCACACTCACACTCCTTGCTGAAACAAAGTTTGTTTGCCGCAAGCTGGGAATGCGATATGAAAAAGCCCTACACTGACTGGCAGCTGGCACCATAGGAAAGTTCATCCATAAGTCCCCACTGATCTCTAGGTGTGCGTTAGCTCAGTTGCACTGGGGATAAAAGCATAAACTCATCCACAACATCTGGGGTACAACATGGATTTGATATCAGCAAGATGTGGCACACCTATTTCAATTCTAAAATACTAAAATCAACAGGGACAGCCCCAGCTTTGTGCCAAATCTCAAATCTTGATGCCTCAAAAAATTAAGCAAATATGCATGGATTTTGTGTTTTGCACAAATTATTCAGTGTCTGCTTATAGCAGCTACACAGCACAGAAAAAATTCAATTTCTCAATCACTACAAAATGCTACAAAGCCTCCCACCCGTTTCTGAGATTTCACAGGGCACTGGCTCATGCTTCTCCCTTATAAGTTATTGCTACACTATAAAAACTAAAAACTTGCTTTTTTAAAGCAAAGGTAGAATTTTTAGGGTGTATTTTGCTGCAGATACTAAAAGTCACATCTATATAATGTGAACACAGAAACAGCAAAGTATTTGCAAAAGGTACACCCTGCAGTCCTGAATCGTGATCAAATATGCACACAGAGCCACCTTCTATGAGCACAGGCTGATTGGTGGCCACTGAATCATGTCTCAGTGCTTAGCTTCCTTCATGGCCCTTTTCAGAATTGAAGTGACTTTCTTCTTCATCTAACACACTTGAAAGCAAAAAGCTGGCTCCCTCCCTTTGACAAGTGTGCAATTTGTGTATCTCCCTGTCTCTGTCAACTTTCTCCAAGCGCTATTCATCTCCTTCATTCTGCTTTGAGTGACGAACAAAATTGGTAAACAGCTCCAATATTACAGGTGTCAAATCTCTCTTTTGTCTAGCTCCATTTTTTTTTAGTGGAATGTAATTTAGGCAGTGTGATTTACAAAAGTCTTCTCCTCCTGACCCTCTGTGCTATTGCTGGGAAGATGTAACTTGCATTCTTCATGCCAATCAGCTTTTCCTTAAAAATAAATCTTTATTTTGGCCTGTGTGCCTCTGAAAAATCTTCTCCCCCACCCCTTCCCCTTATTTAAAATTTCGTCTGCTACTCATTTAAACAGCAGAAGCAATCCAAACACTCAGAATTTGTTATCAAGAGTGGGGGAGGGGTTGTTGGTTTGTTTTTTATTGCCTATATTAACACTTCCAAATGCTTCATTCTAAATGACAAAAAGGACATGCTGAAGTTGGTGAGCAAGAGGCACGCTGTATATTTTTGGAGACAGTTATGTTCATTGACTTTTGGAAAAGTGGTGCTAAGTGGAAAGGGTTAACTGAGAAGTGGGGTTACTGGGAACTGATTTCCCCCTTGCTTAATGCTACTGAGACCTGGGGTCGACTAGGAAATCCAGGGACCAATACCCAATTTCAGAGAATACAAGAAAACCTGCTTCTCTGCTCCAGCACCTCCGTCACCTGCCCACCAACTTCCCTGCTGAATCGTTCTGCCACTGCCTCCAGGCTGAGGAACTCCCTGCCACAGGAGGTAGGACTGGCACCACTGTTCTTGGACTTCTGGCCTTGCTTGTTCCAGGGAGCCTTTGAAAATGGATTTTTAGTTGCTTGGCTGCTTTAGATCTTTGCCTACTACTGCATGTATTGCTCTTTGTTGCGGGCTATTTTAAATGGATGTTTTAATACAGTGCTAAATTGACTGTGTTGAAAATTGGCGTTAATTGCTTGTCTCATCCATCATCTGTTTTACTGGACCAGTGTCTTGAAAAATATTATTACATTGTGTATGTACCCTACCACTTCACTCTGCCAAGTCCTCTTCCAGCCTAAGGAGGAGCTCCGTTTCCTTCTGAGGAAGGGTCCTTAAGCTAAAGCTCTGTTGGGCAACATGGAAGGATAAATGCCACACAATAGAGGGGTGTGTTTTTTGTAAACTCTGATGAGGGATCTTTTCGGGGGAACAGAAAGGCAAAATACAAGCCCTCAAAGTAAATAAACTGTGACTAAGAGATGAGACTGAGTTCCCACATGAATGTCTGTGTGCGGATACCCCCTCAAGCCCAAGTAACCCACCCAGAGAACCCCCAGCAACTGTCGCAGGCACCTTACCTCAAAGCAATAGTCTTGTCCCAAGATGCTGCTGTGCACCGGCTTAATGACCACCTCCTCCTCCATGCTGAGATCGAGGGCCTCCACCGCGCTACTGGGACTGAGAAGTGACTCGTGGGAGCGTGATTCCTTCAGCCTCGGCATTAGATGGGATCTAGAGGAGGAAGAAGACGATGACACAGACCGTCAGACACAATCTGCCCTCTCGACAGATCAGAAATGGCACCTCTGTGATCAATTCGGTGTCGTGAGCCTCTGTTCACAACAGACCGATGCATCGATTGAATGTAAACACAGAAGAATTATCTTATCGCCAGGCACATTTGGAGCCCACGATGTGCTTATTCACATTTACAACCAGCCCAAGATATTAAAGATTTTTGTAGGTCCCGAGAAAGGGCAAACTGAAAAGATTTTCTAGCCTCTGGTAGCCAGACGAGACTGGGTTGGATCAGTAGGTCACGGACAATGCAGGCTCATTTCTGTTGGGAAGTTATGTCAGGCACTGAGGAGATACCAGGACTGGTGTTAAAGGGGTGATGACGGCTGATGCACATCCCCTCCAGGACTGTGGCTCAGAACTTGACTACCTCCTCCTTTGCAGGCAGAAGTCCCCCGGTTCAAGTCTCAAAGTCTGCCGTGAAAATATCAGATGTTGGGAAAGACCTTTCTCTGCCTGAAATCCTGGGAAGCTGTTTCTGATCAGGGGAGACAATACTAAACCGGATGAACCAATAGTCTGACTTGGGCTGAGGTAGCTTCATACATCTATCGACAAACGACTGTTAATGGATGGGTATGAATGGCAGAATCAGTATCAGCTTTTTTAATCCCAAATCTTCAGGGCAGCCTTTTTTAAAAAGTGCAAGAACTAATCTACCAGATTATCTAAATCTATTTAGAACAGCATTCCATTTTCAGCAACGACCAACCAGCTGCACAGCCAAGGAAGAAAGCAATTATCTTCTATCATTGCATGCACCCACCAGCTGATATCAGAGAGATATGCTCTTTCTCTGAACATAGAGGCTTCATGCTTCAGGAAGCAATCCTGGAGGGTTTTTTTGTTATCTTCTGAGTGTGGAACACTGCGGGTGTGGAGGGGGAGGTATTTGTGAATTTCCTATACTGTGCAAGGTGTTGGACTAGATGACCCTGGAGGTCCCTTCCAAATATATGATTCTGTGTAGTTATTCTGGCTAACCACCGTCTGTTGACTTGTCCTTCATGAAAGCGTCTTAGCCTTTTTTGAAAACCTGCCTTTGCATCTTGTGGCAGTGAATTCCATAAGTTAATCACATTTCCTTTTCTCCACCATACTCTTGCTGCCTGCCCATTTTGACTGGTGATCATGAGCCCTGCTTTACTTTGACAAGCCTTTATTGGCATACATATATACATACAATAGGAGATCAGATTAAATATAGATCGGAAAATACAAATCCATATAGGGTAAAATTGGAGCTACGGCGCAGAAAAACAGCATGAAAGCAGAAAAACCTAATGGTTACTTATCAGAACGTATAGCCATAGCACTAAGAAGAAACCTAGCTACTATTTCGGTTATTTCCATATCTTGATTATCAAGCAAAAACAGAACCTTAAAATCGTCACCTGAGCCCTACTAATATGTGAAGAAAAGATTCTTCCACACCAGCCATCATTTTATAAACCCTCTTTAAATACCTTTTAAACCCCAGTCTCTTATTCATATTTTCAAGTACAATGGTGAGTTTGCACTGCAGTCAGCACATGTTCAGAGTCCCTCTCATCTGACAGTATTATTAAAACTCTCTAGCTCCATGCACTTACTAAAAACAAGACTCCATGTTGAATCCACAGGGTTCAGATCTGCCAATATAAATGAACTGCAGCTTGCATCTCAAGGCAAGGGGGGGCAGGGGGGCAGAAGAGCGCTCTAAGATCCTTTTCCTTCTCTCTGTGAGGAAAGGAAACTGCCTCCAGAATGCCTGGCCCGCCTGACTGCTCAGGACAAAGATGGGAATAAGGATTAGGCTGGGAGACAATGACATGGAGAAAGAATAGGAATTGTTGTGGTCCCCAACCTACTTAAAACAACAAATACCCAAGACAGCAATCGGTTGCAAGCAAATTCTCTAATGCAAATACGAAGCACAGCCAGGGCTGGTTCACACACAACCATCCTCTCCCACCCTTACTCCTTGCTCAGACTCCAAGCAGGTAATCTTTTAAACACAAACTGGGTGCTAGGGATGGTGATGTACAAAATTAGGGCCTTCGATTTAGTGTACAGGGGTTGAAAGAGGGCCTGTATGCTGCCAGCGGAGGCTAGAGACATAAAGACTGGGGAGAAAGAAAGGGACCCCCCGAAGACTTTTCCCTCCCAATTTTGGGATAGTTTGGGGAAGCACGGAAAAAACTATCAAATATATGTCTACGAAGTTGTTCAGGGTGCTGAAAACCAGTGAGGATTGTGAGGCACTCCAAAGGGATCTGTCAAAGATGGGTGAGTGGGCGTCAACATGGCAAATGGGGTTCAATGTGGCCAAGTGCAAGGTGATGCACATTGGAGCCAAAAATCCTAAATATAAATACACGTTGATGGGGTCTGAACTGGCAGAGACTGAGCAAGAGAGAGATCTTGGAGTTGTAGTAGATAACTCACTGAAAATGTCGAGACAGTGTGTGACTGCAATAAAGAAGGCAAATGCTATGCTGGGGATTATTAGGAAGGGTATTGAAAACAGATCAGCCAATATAATAATGCCCCTATATAAATCAATGGTGAGACCTCATTTGGAATACTGTGTGCAATTCTGGTCACCACACCTTAAAAAGGATATTATAGCTTTGGAAAAAGTGCAGAAAAGGGCAACTCAAATGATAAAAGGGTTGGAACACTTTCCCTATGAGGAAAGGTTAAGGCGCTTAGGGCTCTTTAGCTTGGAGAAACGACGACTGAGGGGTGACATGATTGAGGTTTATAAGATTATGCATGGGAAAGAGCAGGTAAAGAAAGAGGTACTTTTCTCCCTTTCTCACAATACAAGAACCCGTGGGCACTCCATGAAATTGCTGAGCGGTCGGGTTAGAACGGATAAAAGGAAGTACTTCTTCACCCAAAGAGTGATTAACACATGGAATTCACTGCCACAGGAAGTGGTGGCGGCTACAAGCATGGACAGCTTCAAAAGGGAATTAGATAAGCATATGGAGCAGAGGTCCATCAGTGGCTATTAGCCACAAGGTATAGATAGGGACTCTGGGGCAAGTGATGCTCTGTCATCTTGGTGCTTGGGGGGGGTCAACAGTGGGAGGGCTTCTAATGTCCTGGCCCCACTGGTGGACCTCCTGATGGCACTGGTATTTCTGGCCACTGTGTGACACAGAGTGTTGGACTGGATGGGCCTTTGGCCTGATCCAACATTGGCATCTCTTATGTTCTTATGTCTCTCCTCTTGAATGAGTGGAATGTGCCAAGATAGCATATGGTATAGAAGAATGCACCTTTGCTCACAGAAAATTAAGGCATTTATACTTTTAAATCCCATTGCTATCACAACTAATACAACTAAATATGCAAACTCGGTTATAAATGATACATTTTACATTCTTAAAGCTGCAAAAAGGGTTAGGTTTGAGCAAAAAGTACTTATGGCAGCCCTGTAAGGTTTTCAAGGCAAGAGATGTTCAAAGGTGGTTTGCCATGGCCTGCCTCTGCATAGCAAACCTGGTATTCTTCGGTCATCTCCTACTCAAATACTAAGCAAGGCCAACCCCACTTAGCTTCCGAGATCTGACAGGATTGGACTAGCCTGGGTTATCCAGGTGAGAACAAGTACATATTGCGTATATTTAAATTCCCCCCTAAAATGTCTGTCGCCTCCCACCGAAAAAAGACAGAAAAGCGCCCAACTTTCCCCCCTCTCATGGCACAATTTTTTTTGGAAGTTTCACATTGCCAGTGGGGACATATCACTAGGGCATGGGGGTGACGTGGCCAACATGAGAAGAACCATCCCAGTGAAAAGTCACTGATCAATTGCACTCCGATGTGCTAGACTGGCCTCAAGTTGGAACACTGAGGCACCTAGATGGTGCTACAGGCAGTCAGCAACCAATGTTTGGCAAGGGCACTGCTGGACTCCCACTCATGTGGATGCTATCGTGATAGCAGCTACTTTCAACCTTTGCTCAGAATTGGTTAAGAATGACATTTACCGCGTCAGGCCAAAAATGCCATCAAATCCCTCTCTCCCTTGCTTGTTCCCAGCATCCATCAGGATGAGGGCTAACAGTCTGACAGGCCTCCAACAAATTTGCTTAATCCATTTTAAAAGCCATCCAAGCCAGGGTCCATCACCATATCTGGTGGCAGTGAACCCTAGTAGTTGTGCAGTGTTAAGAATGACTTTCCTCCTGCCGGCCTTCTTGCATTGAGTGACCACAAGTTCTAGAATTCCAGGGAGAAAATTCTCTCTCCATAGACAGGCACCACAAGTAGACTCCTCCGAGATTTGTGTATGCATTTTGTTTACCTTATTGGGTCCTTGTTTCAAGAAAATCTCTCTCTCTCTCTCTCTCTCTCTCTCTCTCTCTCACACACACACACACACACACACACACACACCACACACACACAAATCCACAAAAATCACACACATAAAAATCACTCCATGGTCATTACTCAGTCTCACCACTCCGTTTTGGGGAAGCCTAATCACCGTCTTCAGGAACCTAGAGTATGGGGGGAGGGAAGCTATAACCCCTGCTCCCCCCAGGGACAGCAAAGACTTGCCTTGCTCTGGTCCGTAGAACCTGGGAGAAAAAGCCACTCACTTCACTGGTATGCCAAGTCACTTAAACGTTATTTCTGCAGACTGTCTGTGAAGCACTTGGAGGGAGGGAGGGAGGAAGGGAGGGAGGGAGGGAGGGAAGACGTCTCTGCCCCAAGGAGTCTAGTCTATGTTCAGAGAGATGGAAAACGCAAAACTGAAAAGGAGAGGTAAGGACGAACCAGAGCATATATAATGATTTGGGGAGGAGGGCCAAGGCAGGGTTTAAGCTTGTCTGGACTTCTCTCCCTGTCCCCTCCCTCCTCCTTTACTCTCTAATAAAGAGAGTCTCTCTCCCTTTCCCCTTCCCAGGCCTTACCCAAAAGGGAAGTCCAGC